AGTGGTGGTGGTAGTTACAGAGATTTGGAGAAAGGAGAGATGATTAAAGGCCAAAGCAGTTTTCAAAGAAGACAGTGCTATTGCACTAAGTCAGAAAAGTGGTAGAGCATCAGATGATGTGGCACTTAAGGTAGAAAAAAACCCTGAGCACCAGAATGGAGACAGAATTTTGTTTCTGGAGAAAGTAAGTAGTGGTTATGAGTCTGGTAAGAAAAAAAGGGTTCATTGTTATGAATAAGGTTGAGAAACAGATTTGGGACAATACAGATGAGTAGCTGACTGGGGAAGTTTAAAGTATCCATTTGTTGGTAAAGGCAAAGAAGTGCCATAGAAAACGTCTGCTAAGGAGTCCTGTTCAGAGCCTTGTTTGCATTAAACTGAATCAGAGAGTAGAACATTCCATGCTCAGTGTTACTTCCTAATGTAACATGTTATTTGCTCGAATCAGTGATGGAAGTGAGGTGCCACACATTTAATTAACTGAAGGCTGTGTTAGTTGTGTTATTTCCACTCATCAACTATGGAACTTTAATGAAAATACAGGAAGAAAGTTTTGGGGTTTTAATATAATGGATAGCATGACTAGATTTTCGTGAAATGTTGCTCAGTAAGCAGTTTGGTAGATAAGTAAAGTTTGTTTAGAAAAAAATAAGATAGGTTTTGTCTTTAAACTTTGACTAATAAAAGCTAGATTATATTTCTATCATTTATGTAAGTTCATATCAAATATATGCTTTGGTTTATTCATTTTCTGTGTTTCTGAACACCTGCCCAAAAGCCTACTCAAAATCTCTGTGGATAAATGTTTTGATCAAGAAGTATGAATGAGTCACTTAAAAGTATTATAAATCATTGTTTTTAATATTTTCCACTGATACCACTTGACTAGTCAAATTTCCAAACCAAGTTTTAGAATGAAAAGTTTTTAATAAATTAACAGGACATTATTGAAGGTAAAATAACAAGGGGATAAGAGGTGAACCAGTCCTCTAGAGGTAAATACTTAATTAAAACAAACAAATAAACATCTGGAAGTGGAATTCTAGTCTATTCTATTGCTGAGCACCTACTTCTGTGTGCAAATCACTCTGCTGGGTACTGGGGTCTCAGGAGTAAGACATGGCCCTTGACCTTAAGAACTTGTCTTGGAAAAACACAAACTCATAACAGGCAATCATAATATAATTCCAAGGCACAAGGAAGACTAACAAAATCATTACCTACACTTGACTACACAATCACAATTTCCTTTTTTTTTTAATTTTTATTTTAAATTTATATATACATCATAATACAGAAGCATACATAAGAGTTAAATCTATAAAGTTACCGCCTAAAAAGAAAAAACTTATACAGTTCCTTTAACTCCTTGGCAAAATCTAACTCATATTTATCTTTTTTAAGAAGTTGTAGTATATAATGAATCACAGAAAAAAAGTGCTAGAACATTCTGGGGTAGCTGGAGGAAGATTAGGTTCTCTACTTTCTTCAAACTTTCAGTTTGGGGAGTATATGGGCAATACAAGAGAGGTGGCATAGAATTTGTCCTGGGGTCCCTTGGGAGACATGGGGTAGATGACCTTTTTTTGATATGAGCCAATTATGGGAAAACATCTGGTGACTCTTTCACAGCAGGGCCCTAGATAACAACTTTCCTTACCCTACTTGGGAACTACCTTAAGCCTCTCTTTAGGTAGAACAATGAGCCTTAGAGGAACAAAATTCTGACTTGACTTTAAAACAGCTTCATTTTAACTTCATTTTGCCACAACTTTTATCTTTATAAAATTAATCTGATCTAGAATCGAAGTTTTCAAATTGTTCCCTGGTGTTTCTTGGAGTCTTTTAGGACCAAAAAAAAAGAAAAAAGAAAGAACGGAAAGAAAGAAAGAAAAAGAAAACAAACGAAAATGTTAAGGGAGAATGAAAAGCAGAGAGTGATCAAAATAATTATCCGGGCCTATTTCATGGATTTTGAGAGGGCAGAGTTCTTTGGCTTAAAACAATACTTTGAAAGGTTCAACAGACTCATTCTTTAAAATAAATTTATTAAATCTTCAGGTTAAGGAAACTTTAAAATAAAGTTAATAGTGCTAATCTAAAATTTTCCTAAAATAAGTAGTAATATTACCTTATTCGAATTATGCAGAGGATGATTCTATAAGTGGATGCTAATTCCAACCCAGGGAAAAAGAATTCAAATGAAGTCAATGGGACTGGGTAATAAAAGGCCTCCTGTGTGCATGCCCTGCCTGGATCTCTCCCAGGAGAGTCTCAGTCTAGGGCCGCCTAGGGTATTCCAAGTCACATCAATATATCAATTTTACCGCAATTTTACTATCATCTCTAATAAATACAAAAACTAAATGATAATTATGAAGTCTAATATTCAGCCTGAAAATATCATCAAGATGAGGAAATTCTTGATAATGTTTCATGGAAAAAAAACAAAACCAAAAAAGGAAGGTTTCAAGCTTAACAAAAGCTTACAGTATTATGTGGCTGGTTAAAATACAAATGTAATCTTATTTTGAAATTACCTTCCCCCCTTAATTAGAAAAAAGAGTATTTCATGTTTATTATAGGAAACAATACTATTTCTAATTGTGTCGTTTTAATAACACTGCAATAAACATCTTCCTTGTGGCAGCCAGAGTGGTGCTCCACTTAGATCTCCTCTGGAGCAAAAGCTTGCCCTTTGGCTACGAAAGAGTACAGTTAGCTGACAGTCTTCAGCTGCAGAGCCTTCAGGATCTGCACAGTACTGGACGTAACATCACTATTTTCCCAGGCAGGCCATAGCCGAGGACTGAGCACAGTGAGGGTATCAGGGACCCGCTACTTCTGCCCTAAGCAGGCAAAACTAACAGGCAGTCGAAGCTCTCCACTGGCCTGGTCCAGACTTTGCCAGATAGGCAAGGCCTCTGAGGCCCTCTCTCTACCGGATTCTGCTTGCTCACCTTTCTTTTCACAACTGTCAAGATCTGCACCAGGGCCTGAAAGCTTGTCCTTTCCAGTTCAGTTTCTTCCCCCTTTCTCTTTCACAGGCATCACTTCTCCTCCCCACTTCCACTCCTAATCAATCTCTAACACTCCTAACTGTTCAGCATCTGCTT